GGATGACTTTTATGCATCATTTGAAGAATGTGTTAAGCTACACTAATAATCACACTCCTCACGCTAAACGCATTTGTGGAATCAGATGTTCCTTTAGAAAGAATATGGGACATTCAATAATAGATTGAAAAAGCAGTTACAACGTATTCATGCTATTTTGCACTGGGGCGCGTGCTGTATAGTACATTTCTTAGCATCAGTCCCAATCAGAAACTGTCTCAATGTTTAGGGAGAGCACAAAACTGAATACCACCAACGAAGATTTTGTATATACACAGAAACTTTTAGAAAAGACTTTGCTTTTAGAACAGCACAATCCTAAATGGAAACATGAGTGGAAACTGTATTTTTGCAACTTGATCCTATTAGTCAACCTGAAAAATGTCTAAAAACCTGATAGAAGTCTAAAAGAAAAAAGAAAAAAAAACTATGTTCAGAGCTACATTTCTGTGCTTCTGATTAAAAAAAATGTTTCTACTGAATGAAGCAAACCGTAAATTGGAAATTTTCCCAAAGTTGGAGACATAAGATCATGTTTCAGGAGTGCTGCAGCATCTATAGAAGTAGAAATAAGAATTTTTTCCCAGATTTTTAAACATGTAAAACTATGATTCCCAAGGACAAGCATGGTAAAATGCAGGGCTAAAGGTACCTTAATAGTATAGAAATGACATCTTGTGTCTGTCCTCTGATTTAAGGTTATTGTAAATTTCTTTAGTTGCCATCAATGCAAAAATATTAAGGAATTGAGGGGCACAAGAAATCACCAGAGAGATAAGAATCTCTCTTCCTTATATTGTGTTTTGCACAGGTTTCTGCATCATGCTCATCTAAATCATATAAGCACAGCAGAGCATTAAGCGTCAAATTAACATGTGCTATGTATTGTTTATTCTCCCATCCTCTCACCAAGCTCAAGAGTTGTTAAATCATCTCTATGTCACTGGAGGATCCTTCTTCACCACAACTATCTTCCCGCACCTGGCTACAAAGGTTTCAAAGCCAGGCTGCAGGCAAGAATGAAGACTATGATTTTTATGAAGTGCAAAGGGTTACATTGCAGAGAATAGTTCCTGCTGGGGGATGATCAGGGCATTACCAGACTCAGTGGTTGGTGTGAGAAGTGTATATCCACTTTAACAGATATATAATTCATTGGTCATTTGAATAAAACAAAAATTGTGGTATTACTACATAGGAAAATACAAATTTGGATAATGTGCAATAGCTGTAAACTATTATGTGTATTTTAATGGTGCAGGTTAATTTTCAACTTGTAGATTAATTTTATGCATCACATTTATATAATTTATATATATATAATTTATATAATATAATTTGTATAATATATTGCACCTTAATCTAAATTTTATATGATCATTTTGATGTTCTTAAATTACTAATTTTCACTTCATAAATTCATTCAAATGCATGCTGATTTAGAATACAAACCTTGAAAACCATCAGCATGCCATTGCGTGGCACACTCCGGTTGGGAACAGGTGAGCTTAGAACTGGGAAGTGCTTCTCCGAATGAGACTTTGTTAGCTCCCTGTCATCTGTAGCAACAATTGTTTTCAACTCAATTTTACCTCAGGGTAAAACATACTTTAAGGACAAAATACTTCGTGCTAGCCTCTACTGAAATAGAAACATCATCTTGGAAAGTAATGCATTTTCTCACAGATGAAACTAACCGTCTCAAAAGAATTTTCATTGTACAGAACTTAAACATTGTTATTTGTTCAGTCAGTACCACACTGAATGTGATGCCTACCTCTGTCCCTGCCTGCTGTGTGACCGTAGGCCTGTTCCTCAGTTTCTTCCTCAAAAAAGCATTTACATATTTTTAGTCTTCATGGTTTTTTCAGTTATTTTGCAGCTCCCCTTGAGAATAGATGGAAGATTTGTATCATCTGGATTCACAAAAGACATAATTTGCTCTTGCTACATCTGGGAAATACAGCTTTATGGGATAGGTTTGCACACCCTTTTTCTTTAACCATCATTGTCCCCCACTGCTTTTCAGTCCAAAAAAATTGGATCTGCCCATATAATTTCTTATACCTTACAATCTTAATGGTTCTCCCTGAAGATAATAAAACACAGCAGTGGTTTTCTAGCATTTTCATACAGTCCGTATCCCAGAGTGACTTACTAGCAGAAACAGAAAGCATAGTATTACTTTCTGGATGAGAAAGAAGAGGCGTTTATCTTTAAGTGACCTTCAAAGTAGAGCCAGTACAGCGATGAAAAGTAAAACAGGAATTTTATGTTACAGGAACTGTAGAAAACTTTCTTTACATCCAAAAAGTGGTGAAATTGTAGCCAGTGGTAGAGAATTGTGTTGAACTAGTAAATACAGGAACAGTGAACACGACAGATACGAAAGGATGTAGACTGGAGCAAGTTCAAAGAGGTTTAAAATAGTTAGGGCAACTTCAAACTAGATTACAAACTAAGCAGACTTTATAGAAGATACAAATATGTGAGATGCATGCCAAGACCAATTACTCTAATAAATTTGCTAATACATTGTATTTTCCTTGTGCATCATTTTCTTGGTGGTAAATTCCTTTTTGGTATTTGCAATGACTGTGTAACCAGTCTAAAGTTAATAAAAATTGTTCCCATTTACACAATGACTATGTTTGGTACCACAAAGTAATTATTGCTTAGCTGCTGCTTCTATAGTATTTTCACTCTAAATAAATAAATAAATAAACTAACCCAGACAGGAATCCCCACAACTTTAATTCCTGAGAATTCTATGCCATTTTACCCCAAAATTGTTTGAGATGCCTTCCAGAAATACATTAGCCATTTGGGAAACGTACTGCAAGATGTTCTGAAAGTACAAAACAATATGATCTGATTATTGGCCTCTAGATTGCAGAGCTACCAGATACAAGCGTACAATCTAAGATTTACTATAACAGTATGTTGTCAATGCTGGTGATATTTATATATTTGGGGGTACTGACATCTTCCACTGGAGCAGCTGTGTGGAAAATTGGAAATCATGAACAATTACTCCAAACTGCATGATTTTGCCGCTACGAAGGATAACAAAAAGGCTCCAAATTAAAAATATTGGAGAGCAAACAGAAACATGATGTGGCAAAATTGCCTGTCTTCTCTTGGGTACTGATTTGCACACTAGCCCTCTGTGCCTTTACTTTCAAGAGCTAGTGTTTTTCAAGTTGGGCTTGAACTTATATTTGCCTGTATTTTTAATGTTTTAGATTGCTCACATAAAGTAACTTGAATACAGCTGTAGTACTCTAATGAAATTTAAAGCTGATTTCCAAAGAGTCTTTCTGCGTAAAGGTCTTCCTTGCCAAACTTAAAAACTTTTTATTCAGTCATTAACAAACTATTTTCTGTCTATTTTACTTCTCTTTCTCAATGTTGGAAAGCCCTACAAAACCGTGCAACTAAGTGATGTCAGTGTATCCATTTGTGCACTCAGATGGACTTGTCAGAAAATAGTTTCCTTTTATCTACCACCAAAACAAGGCCACTTTCGCTACTGGTGAAATGTGAAAAAAAAAAAAACCAAAATAATACCTTCCTTGAATAATGTAGGAGGCTTTTTCCCCTCTTTTCCTGGATAATTTTCTGACTTCCTGATCTCCAGGAATTTGTTTTTTCCTTATGGTATGTTAATAGATTTTTAACCTAACAAACTGGAATACATTTACATAAGTTCTTTTTTCAATGATTTGCTTAGTGTGTTTCAGATGGTATGGCTGGTCACTGGCATTCCGTGGGATATTTTGTATTATGCAGTTAATGTGTCCAAAAAAAAAAAAAAAAAAAAAAAAGACACACTCTTCCTTGCATAGAGATTCCCCAACTCCTTTTTAAATTTTGCATCATGCAGCTGCTGTTTGAATGTTTATGGACATCAAACAAAACAGCTATTTTGAGTAGCCAGTGAAAGCTAAACACCTGTTGCTTGCTAGCATTGCATTTGCAGTGACCACTCTCTCCTCAGGCATAGCCTCAGAACTTTTGGACTAGGAAGGGGTGATCCTGTTCAGATATGGCAAGTGATGACACTCCCACCAGCACTCCCATTTCTTGTGCAAATATGTTTTGCACAGGTGAATATTAGCATGGCCTGAAACTCTGCTTTTCTTAAAGTTACAGGGGTTAGGCTGGTATCATCTCTCCTTTGAGAGCAGGAAATTTCTGTTCATGCATGTGTGTATACATAAAGATAAAAGGAACCGTAGTACACTATCAAAGGACAAGATGAAATTACTCTTTTTCCCCCTCTCTAGGCAGAGATGAGTGATTCAGTTTTCTACTCAGCCCCCAAGAATCAACAGTAGTCCTGGGAAGTGGCTTCAGTCTTACAACTGAGGAGCCAGTCAAAGATTTGGCTTCATGCAGAGCTGCAGACCCTGCTATATAGGATTTAATGTCTCTGTAAACCAAACCTGAGTTTATGTCTCCATAAATTTACCTAAGGCTTTATTAAGATTATTCAAAAAATCCTTCCCCACTATCAGACTGAGTTCCTACCCTTAACTGTCAAACTGGTAAGGGATTGTGAGAGTTGTACTTACAGCTAAGAAGCCCTTAATCCAGTCCTTCAGGTTTATGCAAGATATCAGATCTCTTTTCTTCCCCCTCATTTATCCATTTTGTGTGTTAAGCTGGGGCAAAGATGGATTGTTTTGTTTTGGATGTTAAAGCACGTAAGTCAGTCAGAAGGCTAGGTGCCTCAGAGACATGGTACCCTTGTGATTTCTTTGGTATGCTTCACCTAGACCTCATATGTCTCGAACACTGTTTAAATCAGCAACAACAGTATAGGGAATATTTGTTTGAGTCTGAGATCCTTTTCACATCTGACAAAGAGGAGAAAGTGTTTTCATCCGCCCAGGTCTTTCAAAAGCAGGAAGATTGACTTTTGGTAGACGTGGCTTTGTTGCTCAGGAAGGAGTTGCTTGTTACACAAAGTCACCTATTGTTTCTCCTCCTTTCAGATGAACAGAGCATTCTGCCGTGTAAAAAAGAAGAACTACAGTGTGGTGACGGACTCTGCCTCTTAAACTGGCTGCGCTGTCACTATAAGAAGGACTGTGGCAGAGACTACATGTCCATCAAACTAACATGCTCAAGTGAGTTACCCTTCGCTTTCCTAAATCATAGGACGCAACGTCCTATGAAAGTGAATCCATTTGCTCACCAAATCGGTGTTTGTAGCAATATACTGTTCTAAACATTAGATTTGATCTGGTTTTGCTGTTGCAAGGATATGGATATTTAGAGGTTTATTTATTCATATGTCTAAATCATTTATACTGCATGCTGATTTCAAGTAGACAAATATCAACAGTAGTGCGAATGGAAGATTTGGTCGAGCTCAAAATGCATTAAGCTAAATGTATTGTGAAGGCTGCTGCTCTGAAACGCCAGTTGAGAGCCGGGCCGGGGGGGGAGCCTAGAAAAGGTAGTCGCCGTTGCTGGAAACAATTAGACACTAGCAGCTCTGCAGAGCAGTGACTGCTGGCCAGGCAGTCTGCACTTGGAAATGTTAATGTGAATAAACAAACAAACTGCCAGCTGATTAAAATAATACTTGGGCAGGGGAGAGGTAAGAATTACTGTCAAGTCAGAGATATCCAGTGTATTTAAAGGAGTCATAGGGTAACTTCTGTAAACAGTGCAGACAGTTTTAGCCATTTGTTTTAGGACCAGATCTGTTGCAAATAAGTAGAAAGATGAGTTGGAGGATTTCTGATGAACAAAAGTGTGTTGTAATCGCAGCAATTGCTGTTTACTAGCTTGCTGTTTACTGTTCCTACTTTTTGCTTGTTATGTTTACTTGTTAATTTCAAGCTACAGTTTTAACTCTGAAACCTTTCTTCTAACATACCCATTTTGTAACTAGCAACATCTAAGAGGTCAAATTACTTTTAGACATCTATTCTACACAGTACAAATAGGACGGATCACATACTGCTGTCACTAATTACTTGCCAGAAATATTTGCAGACTTGGGTTTTTAGTTAACACAACACTGTACACAGAAGAATGTAGCCACAATTTTGCAAAAAGACTGGAAGTTACAACAGGGAGAGCAGATTGACAGCTACTGGCAATACACATCAGATGAAAGTAAACCAAAAAATGAGTTTCTGGAGTAAGCCTAGTACACTCCATCCTCTAATGGGCATTCAGATGCATGGAGGCAAGAGAGAGCTAATCCAAAGTAAAACCCTCTGAAACATGCATAGTGTAGACAGCAGGCCCTCAACACCAACTGTTTAGTCTACAGGTCTGTGCTTGTCACAACCCACTACCTGGCTTTACAGTGGCATTCAAGCACTCATGCAAAACAAGCGCTCTGTAGAATTGATCATAGTCCATTAAGTAGAGCAGGATTCAGGTCAGATCCATGGAGCACGAAAGATTATGAGTTTATAATTGAGAATTCACAAGGGCTACAGTTAACATGCATGGAAGGACATACAGACCTGAATTTAGGCAAGACCTCCAGTTCTTATGCTCTTAATTCCTAATCTAATCAGCAGAGATTAGAGCTAGACATGTGGTTTGTTTTTTTCTCTGAGAAAACATATTGGGTGTGGTCGTGGAAGACTTAATGGGAACACATTAGTTTTGATGGTCTTGCATTTTGCCTGGATCACATGAAAACCTTTCAGCAATTTACATCGCACATAAGTATGCATTATTTTCTGCCCTTCTATAAAGGTGTGCATAAAGTAAGTAGTGAGTGGCAACAGATTATTTTTGATATATGTAGAGATATATTTTTTCTAAATACAAAGCTGTCAATTCAGTGCTAACAAGAAAAAACTACAACAATGACAGCTGACAAAATAGAGTCAAATAGTCACAGGTTTGCTCTGAACACATTACAGTAGTTAAAAGCTCAAAAACACAAAACCAACAGATCATTTGCAATGGTTACAGAAGCGCACACAAATCAGAAATTGCCTAGAGGAAAAATTCATTATTTTTCAATGGAAAGACTGATTTGCTGTTCACAGATGAACCTGAGAGCAGAGTGTCATCCAGCGAGGCACTCACACCTGTCACTTCATATATACTTCACAGACACACAAATGTTTCAGACGAGACGAGTGCCAAAGCACCTCTCTCATGTGTTGGTTTTGCTGAATAACGGCAAGACCTGTTAGGAGATCAGCACCAACAGAAAATCTACACAGAACGGCTATGCAATTAGATCTGGTGTACCATTGCCTTCAGTCTCATACTGTCCAGAATAGCACTGCTACCTAGGGATAAAGGACCAGGCAGTGACAGAGCTAGATGGAATTCAAAAGCTGACAGATAGATTTCCATATGCAGTTAGCATTCGCATTGGGAAGTCATGTCTGAACATGTGGCTAAATGAGCACGTGAAAAAAGTACTTGTGTATTAAAAAAACCCCCTCCTTGTGACTAATCTATAGGTAACGTTATATAATACGTATATAAGGGGGTGTGTATCTATATAAATATATATGTCATCTTTATTCTTTTTATTTCTATATATGTGCAAGATAGAGGCACTCCACTTGAATTATTTATTGTTCTTATTTCTAACCTTCTGCTTTTGTAATACTAACATCTAAACATTTAGCCCATAGTTTAGAAAACACTTTTATTCATTCAGTCTATTTCATCCTAATGCATTTTAGAATTTCCTGGCAGGATCCAAGAATGTGTGATGCCCACTGAAGGCAATAGTCATTTAAAGTACTACACCCTTGAGCCATAAAACATGAATAAAAATATCAGGGTTTTACCTATTAGTTACTGTTACTCTTTCTCATCTTAAATTTGTTACATTTACTTTACAGTTAACAGCATCTCCATTCAGAAATTTTATTTTCTTTTGGCCAAGAAAAACTTTATCTAGTTCATATGAAACATACATAATAAAAAAACAGGTACCAAGAAGGAAGTGTAGTTCCTTTATTGCATGTTTTTCTGTTCAAGCACTAGTAATAGACACCTTTAAAGCTTTTCTCAATCATATAACCTATCCATTACTTATTTTCTGTGTCCTTGGACAATTTGTCATGCTGTTTAAGGAAACTGATTAAAAATGCAAATAGATCTATCACATTAGAATGTTGTTTTCTTATTTTGATGTTTTCAGAGACACAGGGATTGTCACTTTCTTTTTTAATTGAAAATGATTTTTTTATATATATATAAAAATTTTATATATATATTTTATATATATATAAAATAGTAGAAATTTACTTTCATACTATTATTTCAACAACCTAAAAACCTTTTGATAAGTGGCATTAAGTCACTTAAACATGTTTTTTAACAACAGGCAAGTATAGCATACTGTAGAGCTACAGCTATCAAACTAGCACTAGTAAAAAAATGTATGGCCATCATCTCCCCATGTATGTTTAGAGGCCACATCTGCATTCCCCCACACTCACGCACACAAATTCCCAGTGAAAATTTTTACCTTCTGCTAAATTTCTGTTTCTTCAAGGACAAAAGCTGATGTAATATTTTCTGAGTCAAAATGCTGGTAGTCAGCAGTGTCATCACTAGTTTGTGTATTTATAAATGCACACTACTAGCGTGCAATAGAGCTATTACTACCTGTAGTTACGATGAATTAACTGGAAAGGAGGAGGAAAAAGACAGCTGTTGTCTGGGCTTTTTTTAAACCCAAACAAAAGCTATAGTCCAAATTTCTGCCATGCAATATGGTATTCCTTGACTAAAAATGCCTCAATGGATGCTAAGCAGATGTTTTGAAATGAGTTTCCATTGAGGTGGAAGTTTATAATTCTCATCATAAATCATAACGTAAAACTAGTATACAGACAGGTTAAAATTTCCATTTTTATCATGTTACAAATAAATAATTTCAGCATTAAAAAAATAACAGAATAAACCCATATGCCAGCTTTTGAGTTGTCTGTGAAAACAGCCCTTGTCAAAGTTATTCTTGGTTATGAAAACTGAAAATCACGATATGCTGGAATTTAAATCCCTTTCTATTGCTTAAAGTAAGTTGTTGTTGGAGCAGTGTTTTTATCATCAATGATTTTATGCTTACAGCCTGAAATTATGCAGAGGGCAGTGAAAAGCTTAAGCAGCACTTAGCATTAAATCTTATTAAGATTTGAGAGGATCCTCCATGGTGTACAATTCTTCATCTAGCATTTGTATCCTGCAGCAGTAGACCAGCTCTTTTCTCCAGATCAAGCTCAGTCAGTTAAAGATCGTGCCATCACAGTTGCTCACCTCCATCCACTAACTGGAAGGAATCATCCTCATAAACCAGTTGATGGAATGATTAAAATGCGTGCTCCCTAATCTCTGCTAAAGACAGATTAGCCTATCCACCAGCTAGGAAGGATAGCTTTATATTTAAATAGAGGGGTTGAATCAGCTCCTCAGATTTTGCCAGCAGCTTATTAGGAAGTTTTCTGTGAACCTCAAGAATTATGGGGAGAGTAACCCCTAGCAAAAAGAGAAAAACTATCATAGAGTTCTAGTATATTCACAAGCATCTGTTCTGATTGAAGCATAGCTTGTTGAAAGCTTGACCCTGAGAAAGTAGGCTCAAGATTACTTCCTGATCCCAAAAATTCTGAGTACAGGAGGTCCACATATTGTACTATGTACAGAGGGAAGTGTCCATAAATGCTGTTCAGATCACAATCCCTGCTTCTAATGAAAGGATTGAACATACAAGCATATTGCACAGCACTCAACAGGACAGCAAATGAACCCTCTGAGTACTACTCACAAGACTGTTTTCCATGTAATTAGCAAAGCACTTTTGTGATAGGATCAATTAATTACATTGCCAAGCAGCTGGTGATACTGTCACATAGTGTGCAGAGGTCTGTTTCTTAAATTCATTATATGGAATGTTTATCGAAGTCCAAAAAGACTTTCAGTGCTGATAACATGCTTTACTGTGTTATTTTGTTTTGCTCTTTGTATTTTAATTTTTTTCCACTTCGTTCCCCCACCTCTGGCTTTCTAGAAGCCCAAGATACCTTTTAGTAAAGCTGAAACAGCAGTAATAGTGCTGTTTCTATATGACAGCTAGTGGTTCCACAGCACATAATACCATAAAGAACACACATATCTTTTGGAA